TATTTGCACAGCCCAGTTCTGGAGTCTCACACGATGTAAGAGAGACTCAACATCAGAGACACGTGGCATCACCAGGAGCTCTGGCAGCATCTGTTTCTTTCAGCCTTGTCCAGTGGCTGGAGAGGTGGTGAATTTCTGCAACTGCAAGACAATACATAGCATCAGCATCACTGTAGACCCAGGGAAGCTTCTGAATTCATACAAGTGTATGCATGACTGCAGCAATCTGATCAGGAAGGTATTTTATAAGCCACAGGTGAAATGACCATCTTTCTTCAGAAGATACACATGTAGAAGGTGGTGTGCCTGTTCTTTATAGAAGCTGTTATGCAGAACGTTAATCGCTCAAGTTGTCCTTTGCACTACATCTCCATTTTTTTTGCTTTGGAAGTGACTTCACAGCTGGGTAGTGCTCAAATTCTGTTAGCTTCAGACAGTGAGATGCCTGGGGTTAAATTTGATGGTTTTGCCCTCCAAACCCAGCCTTGGAAGATGGGGGCAGGGAAGGGGGGATTTCTCCTTCATCTGTGGTGTTCCCTTTAGGTTTTGGAATTTCCATAAGGGAAGGGAGGGGGAAGGGAGACCAAGGATATCTGAGAATCTTCAGTGTAAACAAGGCCAATTATACACACACCAATTACCTCAGTGTAAACAACCAATATCACTATAATGGGGAGAACCTTTTGAGTCTGAGGAGGCTGCTTTGAAGTGCCTCCCCTCAGTAACTGCCTATTTATGCAGAGAATTGCACCAGCAGCTGGTGTTGGTTGCAGTGAGTAGAGCTTGGTGGCAGTGACAATGGGGCTGGGTGGACTGGGAGTTGGATGCTCTGATATGACAATACAGTAGTTAAAATTCTAACAGGAATGAGGCAGTAGCTAGTGGCAACCTGGCTAGAGGTTTGCCTGTATCAGCCAGCATATCACTGATGGCAGTGTGAAGGAATTGGAATTTTTTTGTTATGTACATGTGTAGTCATTGCCTTTGTGCCCAGGAAACTGCTTGACCTGTACTTTACTGACAGATTACTTTCCCAGAAAGTCTGCAGCCTCCTCTGGCTTTAGGTCTCTCTAAGATCCAAGTGTCATTTTCTCCTTTGAAGCACATCTTCAGAAGGCCTGATCCTGTGGTGGATGGGGTCAACTGAGAATCTTTCTAATTCTGTGAGCTGATGATCAGGCCCAAAAGGGTTGAGTTCAGTCTGTTTGCAGGTGAGTGCTGCTACCTGTGTAGTACCAAAGGCTGCAGCATGTTTCTCAGCCCTGGGCTCAGGTTCTAGAAGAGGAATCAAACACAATGACTTCTTTGCAGGATCTTCTTTCCATGCCTGCTCCTCTCCTAATGTTCCCTTAACATGTGCTGCATACAGCCCCTGTTCAGTCTGGGACTGGTGTGTGGGTTTTGCCCTCCTTCATTCAGCAGACCTGTGTCACCTACCTCTAGAAATGACAAATCAATGCAATAAGGGCAGACATTTCTCCTGTACATGTTGGAGTGAATTCCACTTCTGTAGCAGCACCTACATGATTTCTCACATTTTCTGTGAAAGAATTCAAGTCAGTCATACCCAGGTTAACACAAATATGTTAGTTCTGAGCTGGCAGCAGATTATGTCAGTTTAGGCTAATAGCTGTCAAATAACAGACACAGATAGTCTTAAATTGGTTTAATTTACTCTGTCTGCTGGCCCTGACAATTGAAGGAAGAGATAAATATACACAAAGCATTCAAAGCTTGGAGTGTTATAATGCTAATTGAAAATTCACCAAAGGCAGCCTGCACGGTGTGTGGGAATCTCAGTGCATGAGATTAGTGGCTAATTACTGCTGGGAGCTGCAGTGCACTCCTCTCAGCTATCTCACACTAAGAACAGGCAGCCTGGCCCATGCAAACAATTCTTGCCCCTGATACCGGCAGTGAAGCACCTATTGTGGACAACAGACAGCTTGATGATGTGAAGATACAAACAGTGTTGGTGCTGTAGCAGCCTCCCCTAAGGTGCACAGGAGCAGTGGCAGAGATACTGCTGTCTAGGTGGCATGCTGTGTCCTGAGCCATAGCAAAGATACAGGCATTTGAGAACTGAGCTCTTTTCTTTCTAGCAAACACAAGAATCTTGTTATCTTTCTGCCTCTTTCATGCCATGTTTGCAGCAGATGACAGAACGCACTCTGGGGGCCCTGAGCTTCAAATCCCACTTTAGAGTCTGAAGTGAATGCTTACAGGTGGTGGTACCCCCTTCCTTGCATCATATTTTAGAATCGTGACATTTGAAAAATAGAGGTTTCATCTGTTTGTCAGTGTCTCAGTATTTCCTTCTCAAGCTTTTCCCTGGTGTAAAAATGAAGTGTAAGAATCAGAGAGTTAAATAATACACTTTTGTCGCATAAATCTAAGAGGTTGGCCTTTAGAAAAAGAGAGATGTACAAAACTGTAAGGGTTGGTGTCACTGGTGCACCCCTGCCACCACTGAACTAATCAGGGCTTTGTTTGATTAGGCACACATCTATTTTTCTTGGTTGTTTTGCATTCATGAGAATCCCTTATTTATTTCTTCATTTAAAAAGGTTGTTTTGTAGCTCTGAAGAGTTATATGTTTTCTTCTTTTCTCTACTTTTGCTTTTTCGAATCTCAAACAAATGTAAACACAGCTTTACTGCACACCCTCTCAATTACACTAACAGGTATAAAAGCCCACACAAGCATCAAGTAGCAATACCAGGATGGTTCACTTCTGAACATTACAGGACCTGGAAAACTTTCTCTCTGTGTCACCAGCTCTCTGAATAACACAGTTTTGTTCAAGATGGAGTCGGGAGTGGAATAATGTAAGTGGCCCATGGTCACAGGCAGTGGCCTGAGACTGTGTGAACTGGTGGTTACAGTCAGCTTTTCCAGTGATCAGTGCATGGGCACTCATAGTCCAGTTTCCTTAACCCTCCAGTCAACCAACCCTCTTCAGCTGTTGAGAAAAAGCTAAATCATCCATGGTCCCTCCAATAAGAGCTAATTACAAAGAGGCCATCCTTCATATGTTAAACATGTTGTAAAAGTGATGCTATGGGGAGAGGTCAGGTTTGCCAGCAGAGCTAATATCTTGTTTGATCACAGATGTAGTTGGGAAAAATTAAGACACAGAAGTTCTACAGGTCTGAAAGAGAAAACTCAAACTTTGAGCTATTCTGGCCCTTTCTCAAAACTCCTGTAGAGAGAACAGACTATCAGCTCCACCATGGATAAAGCCAGCTTGCAGGGACCCCGAGAGCCCAGGTGCTCCAGGAATCTTAATAGCCTATGTGGAGCAACAAAATCCTGAAACCTTGCTCTTTGTTCAGTAAATGGTTGTTAAAACTGGAATGAGAGATACAGGAAAAGTCAGCATTTTCTGGCCAAATTATTTCCACCTGGTTCTAGATGGGTATCAGAAATGCAGCTGTCCATTTTCATGTAATGGTTTTCAAACAGACACCTTTTAGTCATATTTTAAGATATCTTCCCTTTTATCTTAAGCAAAATACCTGTGGGTACCATTACTGGTGGTTTCAGATACTACTGGACAGTAACATTAAGGTGATACCCAGTGAAAGCTGGTCAGTGCAGCGCCTGTGGCAGTGCTAGAAGCTGAAACACATTCCACGCTGGAGCCTGGCAAGGAGCTAGGAGCAGACAGGACATCTGTTTAATCTCACTGTGAGGTGAAAAGGGGAAGAATCCCAAATCAAGTAAATTCAGCTGAATGGAGATTGTGAAGGGACCACTGTTGGGTTGAACAGCTTTTGAGAGGACTCTTGAGAGGACTCTGGCCTGGTGCTCAGGTTGCCTCTGTCAAGATGCTGCCTCCTCTTGGAAGCCACATAAGGAAATATTTGCCTTTACTCCTGGCCAAACCAAAACAGCCCCTTCTCCTCCTCTCCCACTCCCTGCCACGTCTGGGCTATCTCCTGTTGCCAGTCAGGGAGCAGTGGGGCCAACACGAACTGCTTCTTCACAGCATCCATTTAAAGTCAAGGCTTGATAATGTTTGTTGGTCCCTCAGCTCCTCTTCACTTAGGGGAACAGCTTTGTCACAAAGGAGCCACAGACAATGTAGGTGGGTGTTAGCTGACAGCAAACAGTCCAGCCATGTCCTCAGGGTGCAGAGGAGGCTCTGGAGAGGAAGATCATATGTGTGAGAGAGGAGAAGGCAGAACTCCTCTGTACTTGTTCCTCCTATAAAGAAACTCAGCCAATTGTCCCACCAGTTACCACGTGTGCTTCTCAACAAGCAGGTCTGGAAAGGCCTGGCAACCTGCTGGAGAAGGTTATTTCTTTCATCCCCTTGCAGGACATCCTTTCTCTTTTAATGTTTTCTTCACAGTTAGGAGAAGAAAAAGGGAGGAGGAGCTGTGGTGGAGTTTCCAATCCTGTAGGAATTTCTGCTTGGCACATTGGGTCTGCGAGAGCCCAAAGCCGTGCTCAGCTCCATGAAACCTGATAGCTCAACTGTAAATCCCAGGATTTCTCTGGTTTCTGAGTCAATCCCTCAGCAGTTAGAGAAGGTACGGGACTGAGCTGGAGTTCTGCTACCATATCTGATCTCATAAAACCCCCTGAAAATCAGCTTAAAGCACTAGCCTCTTCCAAAGAAATGTGCCAACCTCAGTCTGGATGTTCTGTTAAGTTAAAGCCAGAAATGCGTCTTCAAATGGAGCATAAAAAGCCAATTTGTTTTGCAAATGGTCTAACAACTGCTTTCTTCAGGTAACTTCCAAAATAAAATCACCTATTAAAAACATATAATAATAATCTATTCCAAGATAAAATTCAATGTCTAAGATGACATCTGGGACATCTACAGGAGTGTGGTTTAACTGGGGTAAAGCTAAGGTAAGAGGTCAAAATCAATGGAGGCTGTCTGCAACCTTTGTGGAGAAAGATTGCTGTCTTGGTGGGGAGAGAGATCGTGTTGCTGTTATTATCAGTAACAGTCTGGTTTACACCCTTTATCTTCTCTTTCATAGGCCAACACCTCTGACAGCTGGGAGACTCAACACAACACCTAGGGTGAAGCTATGGTGAGACTGAATCATGTTATGGAGGCAGAAGCGTCCTCAGATCATGTCATTCGTTGTGAGGGCGTGTAGGTACTGTGGCCTTCACCCCAAAGCACTTACAGTCCAAGCCAGATCGCTTGTAAAGAGGAGGGTCACAGTAAAGCAGGGACATCTGTGCTATTTGGAATATTGTGATTTATAGCTGTATTTTTTCAATAAAGCCCATTTTTTCTTTTATCAGATTTGGATGTAGAAACATATGAAAACTCACAGGAAGAGCAGGCTGCCCTTCTATGGATGCTTCTGCACGGGAATGTATTTTTTGTGCAATTATCCAGGAGGATCAAGCCTTATGATGGGGCAGTTTGATCTGAACTGCTTTCTGTTGCTGGCCTATTAAGAAAGCACCAAGCTTTGCCCAAGTCTTTACAGGCTCATTGGGCAACAGTAACAGGCTTCTGCCTATGGCTGTGTGCAGAGACCCTCCTGCTCCACAGCAGCTGATCCTGTTAACACTCTGCAGAGCAAGTCTGAGCAGGGTGAACTGAAGAGGAAATGCCAGTTCCAGCCCTCCCAGATGGCTCTGGGCTATTTTGTACACCAACTTTTTCAGCCTCGGGAGGTTTAGCATATTAATTCCTTCCATCCACAAACTTCTTCTGGATCAGCACTGTGCTGCCAAGATCTTGGAAAGCCACCCGACTTGTGTGATTTGGGAGATGTGAGCTATGCCGTGTTTATTGGGCTGCCTGCTCTGCTCTCCTGTTCTGATAATCCACTGGTCTCCTGCAGGTATTAACACGTACAAGAAAGCTTCGTCACAATAAACAATAGCCAAACATGCCACTTCTTTTCTGTCCATTAAAGATACCATCATACTCTTAAATCAGTCCCAGCAAAAAACAACAGTGGGGCTGCAGAAAGGTCAAAGGTCTCTGGTTTAGGATTTCGTGGGAATATACACTTGTTTGGACTTGGCCCAAGAGCTTCATTTACCTGTTTGACAGGTAACAATTAGTGAGTAATAGCTCTGCCGGCTGGAATGTGGCTGCGAGGGCCAGCGGGCACTGGGTTACCTGGTGGGCAGGTGTGGGTGCAGAGCCCAGATAGGTATGTGCATGCACAGCATTCCTGGGAATCAGTTTTCCCTTAAAGATGCAGCGATGACTGCAGGGCACAAAAGGGCTGGGCTTAGCCCAGGCTCCAAGACGTTGAGCTGTTTGCAAGGTAAAGAAGTAAGGTAAACAGTGGGAGAGGAGCTGAGAAAGAGCTGTAAGAAGCAGCTGCCTCCTTCTTTCCTTGCCCGGAGAGAGGAAAGTTTTGATTCTTCCCTGAGAATCTCAATAACGGAGAATTCAGTGTGATTACAGTGTCTTGGGAGATAAAAAAGAAGGGAAAAGCTGAGCTATGGTAGAGCTGATTTGAGGAGATTTGCACGTCTATGGAAAAGTTCTGCAGGCGGGTGGCCAGCATGTTCAGGAGCTGTCTGTAAGTCTTTTGTGTGCATTGCTCCCCAGTGGCAGCCCAGCATAGAGCAGAGCCCAGCAGCACACTTGGCATGGTATAAATGTGAAGTGGGGAAACCCTGTACCAGTTGATTTAGAAACAGTTAAACAGCTTATGACTGCAGTTGACTGATCCCCTCAACTCCACCATTAGCAAGAATCCAAGCCTCCCTAATTTATCGAATAAAACCACTTTATCTGTGGCAAATGGCCCCATTTCCAGCTCCTGCAGCAGCCCCTCCCAACCTCGAGTCTCTAGAGGGAATCTGGTATAAATTATGTGGATAGCCAGGGACTTTGCAGGTGTTTTAATTTGTTTGGTTTTGTTTTACCACAGCAGATGACCCTTCTCTTTCGGGAACAGAAAGGTTTGCTCATTCTTGTCATATTTTATTCCCATTTGTGAACAGGCTTCTGTGTTTGTGTATTTCCAGTTACGTGTTTCATACTTGACAATTGAGCTATTGTGTGACTTTGGAGAAGCCACATCCTCTTTCCTGGTCTCTGTGTTTTCACCTGCAGAGTTGAAGCACTGAGTCCTGTGATATTAACCATGAGAGACACGATGTGAATTACAGACATGTATGCTATTATAGATATATATTTGCTTACATCACAAACTAATTCCTTTGAACCTTATTTCACTAAGATGATAAAGTATTTTGTATTTTTAATAAAAATCCTGGGTTTTTTACCTATAAATGGCCTCCCTGGCTGAAAGGACTTTATGTCACTAGTACTCTTTGGTGTACTAGTTAATGTCATTTAAGGAAGAAGAAATCCGAGTATAATTACAGACCATTTTCCTTGATCTTAAAGGATCCAGCATCGCTTTGAGTCATTAAGCATTATTTGTACACTGCTATTTAGTATGACCTTCATTAAAAGGGAGTCTCTTTGCTCAATAGTGTATGGGCTAATAAATGGTCATTAAGCCTGACTAGTAGCTGACACAATAGTGAGCTTTGTATTTATTCTCACAAACTCCTCATGAGCTACAAGCAAGCACCAGAAAAGCACAGAGACATCTCTGCACTGGTGGCCAGACTGAAGTGAAAATACAACCATTCCTTAGAAAGTGCTGACAGATACATGACAAGCCCTTCCCTCAGCCCACAGCTGCTTCATAAGATGCAATTCTCTGTCCTGGGGGGGACAAGAGGCTTGTACACTGCATTGTGAACATTGAGAGTTCCTGCCCTGGCCACTTTAGGAAGAAGTGCACAGCATTCTCCCTGTTCCAAGCATCTTCCCTTCCATGTCTCAGACTTCCTCAGCTGGAGCTTGGATCTACACCTCTAAGTCAACGCTTCATGGATCTGCCTGACCACCATTTGAACCCCTGTATACTTTTGACCTCCATATTGTTATGTGGCCTTGAGCCCCATAAGTTATGAGATTCTTCAAATAATCATTTTGTTTCTTATAAACCACGTTTCTGATTCTGGCATTTGGCATCTCTGCACTGTGTGAAACAGCGGGCAAACTGTTCCTTCTGTCTCCCATTTGTTGTTGGCCATTACAGCATGCAAAGTCCTGCACATTTTGGTGTGACTTCCTACCATAGCCATTTTGACTGTGTAACATTTCTGATTGCCTCCTCTTTGGGCATGGGGGACAGGACCTGCATGTAGAGTTCCAGATCTCGGGCACTCTAGGTTTACCCAGAGGTGTAATAGTGCTTTCTGTCCCGTACATTCCTGATGTTGCTTCAGCCTTGCTGAGCATGAGAACAACCTGAGCACGCCGAGCAACAATTTCATTAGACTTTATGGTCAAGACTGTGCTGCACAGTCATGCTGAATATGCACAAATGCCTTGGAGTAAAGTGAACAACTCTCCTCCCTCCTACAACTTTCTGCTCACCTCTAGGTTTTGTGTCCCTGTGTGGGCTTGATCACCCTTGATCACTCACTTGAAGTGAATGGAAAGAGTTCCCCTGATTCCTGCCAGACTGGAAGTTGTGGGAGCATCTGTTGTTAATATCAAGGGGAGCTACATGGAGAACCTGAGCCATGGCTAGTGCTGAGTGACAGGCTCTTCTGGTCCTTCAGAAAGGGAAATTTCATGCTCACAGGAAGACCAGACTCATTATTAAGGTAGAAGAGGAATGAAATGCAATACCAGTGGTGGTCTTGTGAGAAAGTTTTACCTCACCTTTTGCTTTCCTAAATGCTTTCTGTGAACACAAGGGATTCAGCCTTTCAGTTTGGTGCTGCTTTCCACTGTATCAGCACTTCAGCCAGAACAGTTGCAAACATGTAAAGAACAGTGTCAATTAAAGGTGACTCAGGAACAAATGTGAGATGAAGACTTTGGACAGCATTGTGCTGAATGCTTTTCTAAATGGTTACCTGGAGAGACGAAGCTATGGAGATGATGGTTTGGGGAGCAGCCTCCCCACTTCAGAGGTGCAGTCATGGTGATTAAACATGACTTTTGGAAGCACACTCTGTTCTGAAGGGGCTTCCAGCCATCACTAAATGAAGGCTACAATGGATGACCCATTGCATGTTAAGAGGCAGGGTGACTCCACCTGCTATTTGGGTTCTGTATGAAAGGCTGGCAGTACTTCAGGCTGAACATGGGGACTCTGGAGAGTATGACAAGGGCTCTGTTGTTCACTGGCAGCTCAATGGAATCCACTAGATAAAGTGGGTCATAAACGGCATCTGAAGGAGTCTTTCACCCCAACAAAGGATATTACAGAAGAACAACATAGGAAAAGGACAAACTCAAAAGAATTCACCACCACAGATGATCCCAGGCAGCACCACACTGCATAAGGAGGAACAGAAAACAGGTGGCCTTATTCCCTGTGAAGTGTTTGTGTAGTTTTTTGTCACCATAGTACCGAGTCACCAAGTACAGAAAGGTCCCTCCCAGGATCCGTAACTGAACCCACAGTGGCTGTTGCCATTTCTAGCAGACCTTCTCACTCTGCCCAGAGTGCAGTAGCTGAATGGAGCAATGCTGGACACTTAGAGGCTTCACCATCCTTCCAGCATGTTGCAAGCAGATTACTACACCCAGCAGCTCTTTATGAGCTTTTCTGGGCAGGTGAAAAGAGCAGATAGTTCAGATGATTTCGTACAACCACAGGTGTGCCTGGTGTCACCTGCTTTTACCAGGATAAGAATTCATGGAACACTGCATTGTGAGACCTTGGGTTCAGCTCTTAATCACCAGACTTGATGTATTTGGGAAGAAGTTTTCCAGCCTGAGGCTGATAACCTACTATTAAGAAATTTTTAGCCAGGATGGGTCTGTGCATGTGGCAGTGAGGATAGAGAAAACTATGCTATTTTGTCCAATTTTGTTGTTTTCATATTTACAAACAGTTCAGCTATTCCCATGTGTCAGAGGAAGATGCTGAAAGTTAGCACAGCATCAGGAGAGGCAGAAGGAAAATAAAACAGACTGCTTCATGAGTCTGCTTTGAAAATCCCTTTGAAATCCACATTTGCTCAGCAGTAGTGTTGCTAATGTCAGGGGCTGAATATATGTGGGTTTCCATGCACACTGAGCACATGCCAGGCTACTTGTGGCCTAAGAGCAGATGCCTCTTCCACTCCAGGACTCTCCTGCTCGGAGACCATCCTGAAGGCAGAAGACCCTGTGAAGATTGGTGGGGACCCAGTCTGATCAAGACCAGTGACTATGGGTGGCCTTCTGGCTCAGCAATCCAGCACAGAGTTCTCAACATTACTGACAGTAACTATACTACCACACGCTGCATCACTGCAGGAAAGTCACTTCCCAGATGCAAGCTGGACCACAGTCAGATGCTGTTTGAAATGATAGAATCACAGAACAACCCAGGTTGGAAGGAACCTTGAAAGATTGCTCATCTAGTCCAGCCTTTCACAGGAAAGGGAGCCTTGATGAGATTTTCTAGCACCTGTTCAGCTGCATGTTTAAAACTTCTAGTGATGACCCTACCGCATCTCTGGGCAGGTTGTAGAACTGGACACTTTGGCTGAAACAAGAAGAAACTGGAGAAGTGGAATAATAGTAAGTGGATGTGTGAGTGCGGTAGTGGTACAAGATGTGGGAGGTCATCAGCTGCAGCATGCAGACAATCAGAGAGGCCAGCTCGCTTTCCTTGCCAACAGCATGGCAATGAGCAAAGCACTGCTGTACTGCCGCAGGAAGGCATCTCCAGCCAGCCACAGCAGTGCTGAGGCCACTGCGGAAATGAGTGGTGAGACCCCCTGGGCATGACCTGCCTCATCCTGCCCTAGGAAGGGTGTCCCAGACTTGTTCAGCACAAAAAGGAAAGGCTGCAAGAAGATACTAATACCTCAAGGAAGTAAATACCAGGAAATAAACTGGATTTAAATTAAAGGGCAGTGTTAGCATGAGAATAGGGTACAAACAGACCTTGACATATTTGAGGTGGTAAAGAAAAGGTGTCATCTAACCAGGTGAGAAGTGAGTTACTGGAAGAAATCCCCAGAAGGAGCAGTGAGAATGAGGGCTGCAAGGGTTTGGGATGCAGTTTGGTTGGGAGATCCTGCTAGCACCACCCAGAGCCAGGGCTCAGTGCAGCACAGGAGCCCTTCCAGGCCACTTCAGCAACTTCAGTTTTAGCATCTCCTAACTTCAGAGTTGTCAATGCTCTTTCAGGGCACTCAGGAGAGCTTCATACTGGGTCTTCTACAGCTTTAGCTATTTTATGTCAGTGACTAAGGTAGCTCTCATATAGGCGTAATTATGTACTAGCAGTAGAAAAAGAGAAACACGAAATGGAAACTGTGCTTAACAGAGGTGTCTGCTGCCACCAGGGATTAAGTTCTGACATAAAGAACTTGTTTTACCCAAGCCTGGTTGGGACAAGGCAAACAATGCACTGTTTGACTACAGCCCAGCTAGTGATGGCAAGCCTTTGCAGAACATAAACTACAGCCATCATAGCTCAAGGGATTCTTTCCCTGCCAGAGATAACAAAAGTTACAAAGGATGAGAAGGAACATCCCTTGGATAGTCACTGTAGTACATAGTCTCTCCTTCAGACTGGGGAAAGATCATCATGGAGGAGTAATGCCTTCCCAAGGAATATTTTATGAGGGAAGAATTTAGATTGTAAAGGATTTGTTACTTCACGGGGCACACATCAGCTCCTTTCAGTTCTGTGAAATAAAGGGTAAACACGAGCCCTCACTCCCGAGCAAACACACAGATAGGTTCTTGTGCAACTCCACCCCCTGTGCCTGCTTTCTGCCAGTTTC